CTGAGACAGAACAAAGAATCCACTTTGCTTCTGGTTATGTTATCAGTTGTTAGACCTCGAATTTTAGTCGTCCCAGATAAGAATTCCTAACATACCCCTTGGAAAAATCAGCTTCCTGCCTTCTGTCTTTATATCCTTGACATATATTTCATTTAAAGGGCTGCTAACATCATGCATTTAGCCCATTTAAATGATGATCATTAACACCGTCATTTTTTTCCACTTCACACCATAAATTTCAAACAAAAACAATAAAAAAAAATCATCAAACCAAATTCACTGGTCGAATTTTAAAGTGTAATTTTATTTAAGAAAAAAAAGAAGAGTAAAAATGTATCTGCCATCACCTTTCTATTGTTTTGACCTGGGAATAGTGTGACCTTCGTTTTACATTCCAATAAAATATGTATAACATTTTCACATAAAACCGTCACCTGAAAAAAGTATAGCATAAAATACATTTTTTTTTTTTCTTTCTTATTTGAAGGATAAATATTTTTTTTACAATGGTCAGGTTTTATCGTATTATTTCTTTTCCTACCGCACCTTTTGGAAGACTGAATCTACGAAGTGAAATACATTCCAATAACAGTTTTTTTTTTTTTAAAGTGTGAACATACATTACCAACACAAAAAATAATAATACAAAAAATATATGCTACATGTAAATGTACATCTTGAGTCTCTGAGGTTTTTGTTTGAAGAGGGTGGGGGGATTCTCCCATAAAAAATAACATTTTTGCACATTCATTTTGATCACTCAAACCCAAAAGGACAGTAGCTACAAAAAATGTGATAAAACACATAAAACTATGTAATAGCCATTGTCAGGTAACCTAATTCTAAAAACAGATGTGGAAGCCAGTATTTTCCCTCCATAAAAATTAATTCAGAAACATCTATCTTCCTGTCCTTCCTGAATATTTGGTATTGAAATATTTTTTTCATTTTTCATTTTTTTTTAACATGTTATAATTTCTTATTAAATAAATACGTGAATGAACTTTACAAATAAAATAACCCGTTTATTTCACAACCCTTTTTTTGTATTTTGGTAGAGAATATTCCATACTGGCAGTAACAAAGAATAATAACGAAATCATGGCACAGGGTGCCCATATGGTCTCCACATTTATGTTTTAAGAAACCACTAACTTGCTCTCTCCCTCTCATTTCCTTGTTAACCCAATGCTGCCCTGTACAGTAAGACAACATACAGAATTGGAGTTTACCTAAGATACAATTCCACTGATTTCTTTGTGATGTCTTCCTGATGTAAATATTTAAAAAAAAATATGGTCATCAAACAGTGTCCAGAGCAATATACAAAGGAGACAGTCGAATTGTGTAAATGTCCTTAAAGGAATTATTGTCAGCTTGGTGCCCATGAGCGAGTTGGAGAGTCCTGTGAAATGCTATGACAGCCCCAGGCTTGAAATTGCTGGATTTTTGAAGTACTGTCAATATTTTAGGCAAGAGAAGAATAAAAAGTAAAAAAAAAACAAAAATCCTATAAAGAGGTGAGATCAGTCTGATGGTCCTTGGTAACAGTGTGTAGGTTCTGAGAAGGAGCGGATGAAGATCTTCCTTTTGTATTGGGCAGTTTGTGGTCTTTCTTCCATTTCATCCTTCTGTTCTGGAACCAGATTTTGATCTGTCGCTCAGAAAGGCACAGACTGTGGGCGATTTCTATCCTGCGACGTCTGGTCAGATACCTGTTAAAATGGAACTCTTTTTCCAGTTCCAGAACTTGCTGCCTGGTGTAGGCTGTCCTGGATCGCTTGGGTTCTCCTCCGGTGTAATTTGGATTGACTAGAAAAATAAAAAAAATGTAAAAAATTAATATTATTTTTTTAAAAATGTGTAAAATCTGCAGTCCACTGGTGAATAATAAACAGTGGCATGCACTGCAGTCCTCACAATATCTATGGATCTCATGCACACACAGTTTAAGATGGAGCTGAAAAAACAAAGCCACATGGCCAACGGCCTATTCCTTCAACCATAAAAATTTATGATGAGTGTAATGGCTTTCTCAGGTTTTTAAAAGTCCATAAATAATATTTTCAGCAGCTTCCCCCCCAATAAGCAGTATTTGAGCAATGGGCTGGAGCTTACCTGAGTTCACGTGGACTTTCTTCATCCAGGGGTACACTATGGCAGGCTGCTTAGAGAGGCTCCCATTTTTGGGGTGCTGCTGTTGGCTGCAGGGTCTGGAGACCGGGGCTGGAGGTGGACAGTTGTCTTCTGCAGCAGGGAACTGGTTCTGGGGTCCGCTTGGCTCCTGCCCATGACCCCGAGGCTGCACTGCAGAGCCCTGTGCATGGCTACAGCTAAAGGACTCTTCGCTATAGTTTGGCCGGGAGTAGATGGCTTGGTGCTGATAGTCAGAGCCCTGCGGGGAGCTGTAGAAATCAGAGCCTTGCTCTGCTAAGTAGCTGTTCTGTAAATATTCCTCGCAAGGAGGAAATTTAGGATCCACATACTTAGAGTTTACCATATACGAACTCATGGCCATTAATTTCTGAGGATAGAAAATACTAATTTTTCTGGTGTTGTCTTTTTTCTGCCTCCATAAAGCCCTCCTACTTGCTGTCAACTGAATAAAGTTAGGTGGCCACGTGACCTCGCCAGCCAATGGCAGGGCAGAAACTTTATCACTGGATTTAATTGTACCTCATAATTTTCAGAAAATAACAAAATAATATTGATTTAATTGGATCATTATGAGCACACTCACACCCCCCACTCAATTCTTAATCACAGATTCTCAAGATACAATAAAAAAGAGATAGTATGTGATTTTTTGGTGAAATTGTTACATTTTGGTTAAAAAAAAAAACAACACACTTGATATAATTTTTGTAAAATATGATTCTGACTTTTTTTCATTGCATTGATCTAAAATCTGGTGTATGGGTTGGAGTTCAGAAACCTTATTTCATTCCTGCTAGAGTCCCATGGAAAGAGAAAGAGAGATCTTAAATTGTCAAGAGAACATCAGGGGGACCATAACATGTACAATAGACCTGTCTTGGCTTTGTCTTGCGAGGGGTCATCCAAAAGTTACCAGAATCTAGTCAGGTTGAAAAAATTAGGCAATCAGTAACTCGTGGTTGACTGTTTCCAAGCTCAAATGGGAAAATAATGCAAGAGGCAATTAAATATAAGGGGGTAATCTGGAAATTCTGCAATTTATTACAGAAAGTTTTTGCACCTCTGAAATATTTCATCTTTAAGAGTGAATAAAACAGTGTATTAAAAAGTGTGTGGAATGAATGTAGAAATAAATGATGCAAGCCTACAGCTTACTGTTAGATGTATAGAAGATAACAATCATACCATGTGATTGACTTGAGTGTATTTTTTTTTTTATTATATATGTGTGTGTGTGTGTGTGTGTGTGTGTGTGTGTGTGTGTGTGTGTGTGTGTGTGTGTGTGTGTGCGCCAAAAGTGGTAAATACAATCATATAACATGGAATACATAGCATAATTATAGAATATAGATAGATATAGATAGATAGAGATAGATAGATAGATAGATAGATAGATAGATAGATAGATAGATAGATAGATGGGACAAGCATGCAGAATGAGTTTGTGATTATTTGAAGTTCTACATTTTGTAATACATTTTATTTCAACTCTAATCCCCCCAACAATAAATGGAGCATTGATGACATCCTATGACAATAAATGACGGGATGGTCAATATCTGTAGTAAAATCCCACCTTATGAACCTGCCCTGTGGTATGTTCATATCAAATACTCTAGGTGAATCAAACCGAAGTTTTTGCATCGACCATATATTCCCCTAGAATCGAATCTGTGACTATGTAAACACCACACAAATTCGGTTCTACAGGGTACATATAGACAACGTAATAACAGTCTTTCTACCTAGGGTAAGTGTATGTGTCCTTATCACCTAGTGTATGCAGATTAGTCATATGACAAATGGAATGGAATTATTAAAAAAAAAAATCAAACAACATTAAAATCTATGACGTCATAAAAAAATGCACAATTATATTAAAAATATTGTAACAAGCATGCATCTATATGATGTATGCAGGCATTATGATATGTATACAGGTAGATAATGTGTTATGAGTTCTATAAAATAGTTTTTTTTTTTCCAAAATAACATGTTTATTCATTTTTTAAACAAGTAAAGGTATAAAGGTAGAGCAATATGATACTGATTACCAATCAGAGACATATATATATATATATATATATATATATATATATATATATATATATATATATATGCAACTGCAACTTTTTAAGCAAACCATTTAAGATAGCAATTAGGTTGTAAAAGTGTCAAATGTATACTGATTGCAGGTTAGATGACCAGATAACATCAGCTCTGTCATCACACCGCACCTACTCTGCATAGACAGGTTCATGCAGAAGGTTCAACTTGTATGAGGACAAGTAAACAAAAAAAATCATTGCTTTGCAATTTTTTTCTGTTTTTGCACATAAAAACTTAAGACATAATCCCTCTTAACACGTCATGGCTTTACAGATCACAGAACCGAAATTCTTAAGAACTGCAAGGTTCAAATGCAGCCACAACATGCAAACACTGCATAAGAAGCAAATCATTATTATTACAAATATAAGCACTATAAAAAGTACATATATAAAAGTAAAAATAGTATAATTGTTCTACACCTTACTATTTAAGGAAATTAATTTAAGTGGTTGGTTAAAAATTATATATATATATATATATATATATATATATATATATATATATATATATACTAATTTTTACAGAATTTCAGTACAGGGAAAAATTATTTAGTTGACAATAAAACCATTCAGAAGGCAGGAAGGGTCAAGTATTACATACCAGTCAAGTTTCTTCAGAGAAACCAACCTTTGGACTATATTCAGAAATTAGTGTGGCAGCGTTTATGGTGAAGTCCAGGTCAAAAGGGCATTTGAAATCATTTGCAAACATATCACAAGGTTTCATTATTTTTACGTGGTCGACAGTCACACAGAGGAGTACAAAAGTTCATGATTTGTTCCTGACCCATCAGCAAACTTGCTGAGCTCCTCTCTGCTACTTGCTCTAAAAAAGCTCCAAACCCAAAGAAGCTCATCTCACCATGTACTCAACATTTCTGTGTTCTGTTAAAGGTACGTCATTTTTTTTATCACCTAGTATTTACATGTTTATAAATTGTAACAATCACATTTTGTTTCAGGTCTTTGATTTTTTGAAACAAAGTAGTTATGTATATTCATAATACATACTTATTCAAATCAAATGCATGCATTCGCAGATGGAATTGACTATAATTATATATGTCTTTTAAAATTATAAGTATTTAAAAAAAATCAATAAGCTTTCATTAGCTCATTTAAAAAATGATTTATAAAAAAATAAAAAAAAACAACTTTTATGTTAAAATAATGGACAATTTGTACTAAATTCGATATGTGACCCCAAAATTATAAAATAAATTGATAGTTTTTGGAAGCAGAGATAGGATTTTGTTCACATTTTCATATTGGTTAGACGTTGTGACCTGGATTTCACCTTATCTCAAGGCTTGCTCAGACAGGTCAAAGCCACAGTGTTATTGATGAACAAAAGCGTTAAATATTCACCTCCTGCTCAACTGCCCATAGAACTCTGTTTGATCTTCTCTTCTTTTTCTGTGGCCTGATCCATACAAAAACTACATTCACTGTTGTATTATAATTCAAGAAATTAATATTGGTGAGATAAAAGCCATTAAATCTAAACTCTTATCAGAGGCTTTAAGAAAAAGGAAGAAAGATTGATGCAGGACTGCAAAAAAATGACTGATTACAATTAGCATGATAATGCATCTGAAGATCATTTATTTAGTAGCAAAATTATCCTTTAAATAAGAAAATTAGTTGCTGGAAAGTCCTATTTGAAGAGCTATTTCCATCTATGCTCTTGCAGACACTAAAGAGTTTTAAAGCAATAACCTAAATCATTTAATATAAACCATATATTGATGTAATCTATTTAAATGCAACACAAACATAAGAAAAAAAAAGTAAAAAAACAGCAATGTAAAAGAAGTGGGAATGTTTATAATACTGTAATATCCGTTTAAATCTCTACCAGCTACATCCAGAAACCACTGATCTTAAAGGAAATTTCAACCAGTTGGCTGGTTGTCAACAAGCCGGTAGTCACACTTAGACAATACAATTAAACAACACCAGCCATCATCCATTCACAATAATGTACTTCCCTGCATCTGTAAGTTACTGTACACCAATCCTTACTGTGGGAGGCGCCATACAGTACAACAAACCAAGAGGCAAAGACTTATAATTAAACCAGAACCCAGCAAGCAAGACATCTGGAAAAAGTCCAGAACCAATAAAAATCTGCAACTAGACTATGGCTCTGCATTAACACCCTCAACATCATAATCATCATCTTCATCATCATCATCATCCTCATCAAGTCAAGGCAAAAACAAATGTCATACCAAATGCTAATCATCATTCAACCTATGCTCAGTTGTAATCCAGAAATGTAAGAGTTAAAAAAGGAAACGAATTTCTTACAAGAAACATAGCAAACTTTTTGTTTCATGTACATTGATACATTGCGTCCATCAAGCATAATAATTATGAAGAGTTATACTTACCCCTTATGGCTTTCCATTGTGTGTAACCTGTTGTAACAGAAAAGTATATTAATAGATGCACTGCAGAATTCTAGTGATATCACCGTAATCGGTTTACATTTTTTGGGGGGTAGGGTTAAAATATCAAATAAACTCAATAAAAAGAAATTTAAAAAAAGAAATATCAAATAAACAACAATGGACATATATGAATGCAACTGTAAAATAATCCCCTTTGTATTATAATCTAATGATGAAAGCCATGTGAATTGCATTGTTTTAGAAGCCTGGCTCCAAGTTCACAGCTGAAGGTACCTGTGAAAATTGGACTATTTGTGCTCTAGGTGGGACCTACAAACACTACAAGAGAACATTACCTCTGGGGATTTCTTCATCACTGCAAGTATTGTATGAGCAAAAAAAAAAACACACACATCGCATTCCCTGTCTCAGATCTCTAATCTAAGTAGATGGCATATAAAATCACTTACTTTCTATGCTTCTTCTTGCAAACTGGATCCAGGAGATGGAAAAGCCTCGGTGCTAAGAGATCCAGGCAGAATGGTCCTTTCTAAACACTATCCTTATTACTACATCCAGGAACAAAACGCATCTGCACTTGTATGCTCTTAAACTAATTTATGGTGGGAATTATATTTTAGCTTGTCAACTCTCAAGCCATAAAACAAAGTTTATTGGAATCACGTGCTCCCATCCAGCCACTCAGGACTCATCTCTGTGGAACCATAAATAACCATCAGCTTTAAACTTCTATTCACTAGATTGAGATTCCCAGAAGCCTCTAATAGTAACACAAAATAAAGGGGAGAAATCTCTCTTTTTTTAAAAAGTGAAAC